TGTTCCACCATTGCATTCTCTATCCACTGTGGTAGCATCTTGCATGGTGGGTATGGGTGGGAGGGAAAGTTGGTAGTGGAGCTTTTCCTAACAGCTGTTCCAAATGAATTGACAGCTAGTTAGGTTGAAATTAACTTTTGGAACAAATGGTGATGGGCCCAGGGCCCAGGCCAGGGCCCAGGGCCCATGGCTTCCATCATGTTTGTCGGAGTATGGAGGCCTTCTTAAATGTGTAGGTCCATGGTGTGCCACTGCAGGTGTGAATTCACCAACACATTTTTAAACTCAGGGCATTGTTCAGGTATGTTCAGGTGTTTGTGCTCGAGAATTGCCACTGTTGAGGTTCTATATTATGTAGTGGGAAGATCAGCAAAATCCGAAGCCCAACAGCTGTCATTCATGCTTTTTGATTGGAGAATGTGGAGATACCATTTTACATTTGTGAGATGTTTGCAATGTTTATCATGTTCGGTTTTGTTGCGTTGCATGTCCGTGAGCCAGGTGCCAATGGAACAGATGATGTGCGCTGACATGTGTTTCATCAGTTTTGGAAGGTGTGTCTTTTTTTCCGGATCTACGGTAGTAGGTGGAACAATACACCAACATACTCCAGCCAATAAGACGAAGGATAAGAAACTCTCTGGTGTTCAAATGCTGTTGTGCGGCTACATGAGAGTTTGACTGACTTTGTAACATGTGTCACGCTGCTGTACTCAGAAAAAGTAAATCGCTTGTGCATTACTAAGGCAGCCAATCCTCATATCCTTGAGGGCTACTTCAGCTATCCCGAAGAGCCCCTTGCGACCTACAAATGTCGCGACGCCATGTGCCCCTAGGACGCATTCATCATTTGCCAGGTCTCAGCCTTCCTTTGACTCGTAGCGATGGCCTCCAACCTAATAGCAATGGCCTCCACCCTACTAGCGATGGCCTCCAACCTAATAGCAATGGCGTTGTTCCTAATGGATCATCACATGGGTCAAACAACACTTGAATGGATGCCTCCTGATGGATGACGTAGTCTTATCATGCCTTGTCAGATTTCAGTCTCTTCGGATGCATCCCCTGCAATTACCTGTTGGATCAGTTTGCCGCAAAGGATGTGTGCTCATGCAGGACTGTTGTACCTGTTTGTATAGTTGTTTTTTTGGTTGAAAAACCTTTTTGAGGCCGGGCCACAGCCATTACCCTCCGAACACATCACATGGAGTAGATGACATGGACCTTTGAATGACTGAAATCGAACGGGGGTGATTTCCACTTCGGTGAGTCGGAGAGGGACGCGATTCTCCGCGATTCCCCGAATCAGATGCAGGTGAGTCTTAGGGAGGTGAGTCTTATTGAGTCATGGTGTGGACCCCAAACGCCTGAGCCGGTGCCAGGTCCAGGTGGAGCCCCCGGCAGCTGCCTGGGCGGCAAGGAGGGGCTCACCTGTCGACGCTGTCCTGAGGGTCAGTGCCCTGGCGGTTTGGGACTGGATGGATGGGAAACACCTGATCTGGGACTGACTCTGAAGGATCCAGGAGGACACGTACCCGAACTCTGATCTGAAGGATTAGCCTTTTTGTTGGGCTACTTGGTTGAGGGTGCGGAACATCGGCTTAAGGATTGTCCGGGTGTCCCCCCTAAGGACGATCCCCTTGGATGAGGAAAAGGGGGACCAAAACGCATTTGGTTGGGGGGGATGTTGGGAGGCTCCCAGGATAGCAATACAGACATGTAGGATAGCAAAGTATCCCATGCAGCATTGAAGCCTTTCTGTGGGCTTCGCCATGCTCCAAACAACGCGCAGAAAAGCTGGACAATTGGCCGACAGGTTGATTTGGAAGGGCACGAAAGGTTTATAGATGCATTGAAAGCCTGTGGTTTTGGTCCATGTAGCGAACGACCTTCCAGGCAGGTCAACCGATCCTGACTTTGACCATTCAAATGTTGGATCTTTTTGGGGAAGTACCTCAGGACTTGTGCTGTTGCACTGCTTAAGCAGTGAGATTGCGAGAACATGCGAGAACCCCAGTGCGGGCGGATTGGTGTTTCCGTTGGAAAGTTGAGGAAAGACTCTGGGGTCAAACCTCTCCTGAAAACGACCAAAGCCAGGCCCATCATGGAAGAAGTTACGTACAGTAGCAAGGTGCAGTTAGCTGCTAGTAGCGTTCTTGCTCCGTTCGTAGCGATGCCCGTTGTTCTTGTAGCGATGCCCTTGCTCCTAGCTATTTGCTACTAAGAAGCTTCAGAGACATACGAACGAACTTCTTGTTCGTAGCTTCAAAGACCCCTACGTAAGTAGCTTCTTGCTCGCTAGTTCGTATGTCACAGCCTTCCAGTCCGTCCATCACATGGGTCGGTCCCGGGACAACGGTTCCCGGGACTACGGGTCCAGTGTGTCACGTCCTGGTCACTGCAGGTCGATGTCACGTGCAGGTCCCAGGAAATCCGAGTCGACCAGTCGTTTCAACCGTTTGGCCATCCTCTTTCGCTGCAAAGGATGGCAAAGAGGATGGCAAAGTAGAGCGAAAGAAGAAGGAAAAAACCAGTACGTCGACAAGTACAGCGATTTCGCTGCTCCACCAACCCCAAACACCATCTTCCAAGGTTCGCCTCTTCGGGTCCTTGTCACGACTGCGGCGACTATGTTGGGGCACTCTGGGTGGTGGGGCTCGTGGCGATGGCCGGCGGAGTGACCGGCGCCTGGGGATCTCAAGTGGAGAATTGGAGCTCTTAGAAGGCCATTGCTAGTAGGTTCCTTAAGTTTTTGTCTTCTAAGTCTTTTCAATGTAGGTTGGAATGTTCAACAGCTTCCTGTGTCGGTTTTCCCCATCTGGGTCCTTTGACTGGACCCGACTGGACCCAGGCGCTTACTACGTCTCCTCGTCGCGCTACATACCCAAAGCCAGTCCCATCTTCCGCGCACTGGTCAGTGGCGATATTGCGGTGATGGTGTTGCAAAACGTGGCCGTCGTACAGGTGGTTTGGGGCTCTGGCACTGGATTGGAAGCTTGGTTAAGAGAGTTTCAAGGTGACTGAGAGGCTTTGGGTCTCCAAGGTGACTCGCCCACATTGACAGAATCAAAGGCATTTGGGTGCCCTTCGTCCTCCTATGGTCAGTTGGCTTTATGGAGTAGTGAAGAGGGCGAATGGTGGCATGGTTGTAGGTGGGTCAGGTTCGTTTCTGTTGACAAGAGAAACTCCTTAGAGAGCAAAAGATAAAAACCCTAAGGATCCAAGTACCCTCTGAGAAGGTGTTTGGGGTGGGTTTGGAGGGGCCAAGTACCTTTTGAGGAGGTACGACTGGATCCCTAGGGATAGCAAAAACATCCTAACATCATATGATGCTATAGCATTCTATTCATGCCTGTTCTATGTGTTTTCCTGCGGTGCGAACGGTGGTACCTATCAGCATTCAGCCAAGGAATTCTTCACCTTCACCTCCTTCTTGGTCTTGGACCTCGATGGTGCAGGCATTAGCTGTCTTTGGCCCTCGGCTGCAGGACAATATGCAGGCGTGGTGACTTTGTGGCCTATCATCCTGTTTCTTGGATCGTTTTGGGCCGTGCAGCCATTGGTCGGCGAAGCCTTTCACAAAGACTCGTGATTCATCTCTCTCTTTACTCCGGTTTCTGCATGTTTGTCGCGCCTGAGGTTCTTGATTCTGATCGTTTATCTTTGTAGCAGATGCTTGGCTCCGAAATGACGCTTCACATGGCGTTCAGGAAGTTAGCGCTGCGAGGTGAAACCGAGACCCCGGCGGCGTCGGCGCGGAACGTGGTCTTCTCGTTGGGTCGCGTTCCGTCGATTCTTCGTGAGTTTTCACCAGGGTCATCCAATGGGTGTCCCATAGACTACCCTACCTTACTGGCCTCCAGACAGGGCACCCATTGGAAGTGCGTTTTCACGTGTCATTTCAATTCTTTCACCCAAAGGCTCCGGGGCCTTCATATGCAAAGCCCGGACCCTTCATATGGAGATCCCAGTACTACTTGTTGTTTTGTGGGCCTTCATGGGCCTTGGCCTCTCTTTCATGGGCCTTCACCACGAAGGGTCGACAGCACTCTTTTCCTTGCTCCGCCTGCTTCGATAAGGTTCACCACGTGACGCCACATGAAACTTCAATGTCAGATAAATTGGAAATCGATCACAACATCTATGTGCATGGATCTGGGTGGTACAACACAAAAGATCAAACAAATGTTTTTGGCATATGTAGCTCGAGCATTCATCACTCCGTAGCTTCGATGTTGGATGCCGCGCGACCTGAAACGTGCAGGCGTGGATATGGGAAATGCGAATAGGTGTGAAGGTCAATCCGAGGGACACTAGCCTCCATCTGGAATCATCTGGAATCTCACTGTGTGGGTCTTGTGATTGGGGATCTCTTCGCATTTGAGCAGTTGCTTATCTAACGTATGGTCCTATCATGTCCTATCGGCTCAGCTCATAGTTGGGTTGCACCGGGTATTCTCTTGCCACCTGTGGCCACAATGGAAACAAAACCTGACGAGGAGATTGCGAGCACCTGGTCTGCAAAGAACCGTGTTGCATGTATCTCACGCGCATATTTTGGGCATGCACGTATGGATCTCAGGTCTTCTTAGATTACATCTGCCAGCTTCAGCATTTCTCAAATGCTGCGAAGATAAGCCCCCCCATGAACACTCTTTTGGATGTACAACATGTGGGTGAAATATCGTATGGTGACATGCAAAAGCACTTTGACATGATTGCGGCGCTCTATGAATGGTGCCCCCAAGGCAAGACTTGAACGCTCTTACACGTGTGCATGGGTGTGGGTTTCCTTGTTATGGATGCATGTGTGTGAGGGTGCATGTTTCTGTTTTATTGCACATGGTCTGAATGCGCAGGTGAATTCAGTGTGGCTACCTTGAAGCAAGCATTTGAACACCTAGATTCTAGTTGCGACGGAAAGCTTTCACATGGCAAAACAATCCGAGAGAAGAAGCGCTGGTGTGATGATGCCTTTCAGTTGCACGCAGCCGTGAAGTACAGTGTGTTGATCTTGTGCCCTCCGATTGTCTGCTATCCATGCGATATTTCTTGTGTGTACTCCTAGGAAACTGTGACCCTTTGCGGCCTCTTGAGCTATGCAAGACGCTATTGGCGAAAGGGGCTTTCCAGAAAATCACAATCTCTAGCTTTCCTTGCATTGGACAAAATCATGAGTCACAACCCGCGCAAAGCAAGACCTACCAAAAGAAAAACACAGCAAAACCTTGTAGTTCTTGGTGATGATGAAGTGAATGATGATGATTTCGTTTGCATGGGTCCATTGGGGTACTATGGGGTCATAGCTATGGCAAGCAGCCAGGATGCATTTTGCGTGCGGTATTCTAAGTTTTGAGAGCATGCACTGAATTTGAAACCATGGAAGTGCACATTTTAAGTGCACCTACGCTTAGAGCTTGCGCTGCACCACAAAGGCATGGGGACAGTTGATCCAGCTCATGCCGAAGGGAAGGCTGTGGCAGTGCAGCCTGTTGGTTGTGACCAGGTTTCGCAGTCGGCAGGTGCTGCGCGGTCGAACCTTATCGTGATACTGATGTTGAAAGCCTTTCCAGTGCTGGGGAGTCCTTCTTGGAGGATCCTAGCGATGTGGCCGAGAACATGATAAATGGCAACCTGGTTCATGCTGAGGCCAGTTCACATTACATTGCAGTACCTTCAATCCACCTGGGGTGTGTTGTGGTCTCTCACGCGTGCCAGCATAGTCACATGTATGGCCAGCTATGTCATGCATGAATCTAAAGAACAACTCTGAGACCCTGTTGACAGGTTGCTGCTTCCTTCAAGCTGGTTCGTGTGGAGATCTCCGATGAGGAAACAGATGTTTTGGGCGCAGCGGCTTCGCGAAGTGATTTGGGATCTTTGCCAAGCAAACTGGGTCTATGTTCCTTGGCTGATGGGTGTGATCCTGAATTGCCAGAACCTATCGCCAAAGAGATGGAGCGAGCCAGTGCCACATCTGGGCCCATCCTAGATGAATTCTTGGAGCTACAAGCGAAAAATCGTGGGGATCCTGAGCATGACCTTGCCTTTTTCAAAGAGCGGGCTATGAGGGCACACAGGGCTTCACTTGAGCGCCGCTCAGAGGATTTCTTGCCTGACTCCAGGACTGAGGATCCAAGCTTTGAGAGCCAAGCGCATGGTGGCATGGGAGAAGGGCATCCGGCAGAGGAGAGACAAACCTTCTATGAAATCGAGGCTTCCGAGAACGGCAGAAGTGAAGCAACCGGTGGCATGGGAGGAGGGGAAGCATTCAATGGAATCGAGTATTCCAAGATGGACATGAACGGCAAAAGTGAAGCAAATGGTGGCATGGATTCC